TGAGTCATAATCGACTCGTCACGGGAAGGGGCGACCAGGTCTTTCCCTTCCCATCTACATTCAGCCCTCACCCGGTCTAGGCAACCGGGAGTGATTAGACTGATATACTCCGATGCCGGTTCGCCGCAGCCCAGGACCGATGATGGGTTTTCAACCTGGAAGTCGGCAGATACCGAGCAACCAGTCGGTGTGAAAGCTTTCAATGGGGGTTCTGGCGCAGGTTCATCAGATCTAGCGGGGCTCACGGCCGAGCTTGGTCTAGAAGGAACACTTTGTGAAGTTTTCGCCATTTCTTGAAGCTTTACGAAGAGATGAAAAGAAAATACAACCAACGCAAAATTTGAGAAAGATAAGAAATGTTGAACCTGGAAGGGTCGTTTATACTTTTCCCATGAGGCGGCGGCACGAATCGCGAAGTTACAGACACGAAGCGACAGATAATTAAGAGAAGCATTAAATGCCTGCAGCAGACGTGGTCAGAGCACTCGATGGCTTTTTCAGCTGGCGTATGGCCATACGTCACGGGCATCACGTCACCGATCATATCGTTTATTATCATTACTCTCTAATAAACGAGGGGACTATCTGTATTGGGTGATACCCTTTTTTGCTTGAGCTCGACCGGGTTGGGTCCGGTCCGGGGCAAGTCGGGGGCCATCGGACCCGACCTGGATGCAAGGTAGAACGACGGCCACGTCAACAACCGAGGTCGAGTCATTTCGAGACCGTTGCAGAGCTCGATATGAGTCACCACCGGATGGAGAAACACACAAGGTCGGAAGCCGGACTCGTAACGGATAACCAAGCGTCGCCGGATATCTCGCCCAAACGTGATTTTCTCAACCACTTCAGGCCATTAAGGCGTAATTACAGGGATCCACGATGTAATTAATTTACCTACCTTATTTTTACCCTTAATCAGAATGTATAAAAGGGGAGAAGACCCCATAAAGAGGGGATCGGAAACCATTACACTACAGTACCATCTCTCTCAATTCTTGTACGCTATCAAGCACAATTGTTCTAAGCAATATTATATTCTGCGATTATTTACTTTAACAGCAATTGTTGAGTCTTTATCTTTTATTTTCCTCAATCCAAACCTTTTGTATCTTTTAGTTCACGGATCCTTAAAACCCCATATAAATTCAATTGTTATCCGGATTCCAGGGTAAACAATGTTTGAAACTTGTAATTTAAAATAAATTATATAAATTTATATAATTATAAATTATCTTATTAACGGAAGTAAAAAGTTTCAAAATTAAATTATTTTTAAATATAAAGATTATTATTATCTCTTAAACAGATTAACTGAAAAAAATACTAGATTAGGGAAGGGAATAAAGTTGCAAATCTCCCGATTAAAGTTGGATATGGCGGACATCAAACGCTATTTGGCGACCCCTTCTTACTTCACCAAGGCAGCGATCCAGAGTGACAAGTTGGTATTTTATTTTGTGTTAAGAACTTAATGGAAAATGTTTGTAATATTGCTACCTTTGGTAATCTGTGTGTTCAAAATAGCACTACTCTTTGACCAAAAAGTGTTAAGCACTTTTGAGTTAAACCAATTTTAATAAATGGATAAGGGGTGAATCCAAGTTAAAATTAATAAATCCTACATCCGAAATTTAGCAACTTAGATGGTGAACCGTGTTCTAATCAATAGAATGCCGATTCAATACTCAATGATTGGATAAAAATATGAGAATGAATGCATACAATAAATGTGGTAAATGGCATTTAACGTAATAAGAAGTAATAAGTCACCCAAATGTTCGATGAGGTGGATAATTCCTTCTTCAGAGACAACGTGTGATAGCATGCAATGATAGTGAACAATGTGCCCTCGGATCTTGTGAACTAAAGAAGACGTTGTATGATGGAATCAAGCAAAAGAGACAAGTTTTTTGTATATTCTTGATAGTCAACCATTTTACAAGATGTCTCTTTATAGAAGTTTCGAATCCCTTTTTTGTTCTCTCTCTCTTCCTATTTATAAGGGACATTCCTAGAAAATCCTAGAAAAGTACAATGTGAGGGAATATTCAACATAATATTCCTATTCATAGTCACAGGAACGTTCTTAACAATTGTAGTTGTTGCTCTGTATCCGACCTCGGCATTGAACTTCCCTTTGAGCGACTCCTCGCCACTAGACCGTACGTAATCTCGACCTCGGCCTCAGCTCGTCCATTTGCACTCGCCACGCTAGGCCGAATTTTGACCCATACAGCTAGTCCCTCCGCTTATTGAGGGCGTCCTCTTGGGAGTCCTTGATGAGGGGATTTCATCTTAATCGCAAAAATGTTCCTCCATGGCGGACGGGCTGAATTGGTCGAGGTCGCGTTGGTGATGGGTCGGCTCAAAGGTTGTGATTTTCGTGGCTAACATATGGTGACGTCATGACCACGCGCGTCATCATTACCCATCTTCCCGATGCAATGCATCATTTCCAGTGCCTCTGTTGCTTCGATCTTAGTGTCGGTGATAGTTTCTTGCATCGATATCGGCGCCATAATATCATATAAATAGGGGAAAAGAGGTTCAAAGATAAGGCTTTTGAATTTCATACTTATTTGGCACTTTGCTTGTTCTTCTATTTCCTCTCTGACCCTTGCTTCCGAGTTCCTTCTGCTTCTCAGCTCCAGCTTTCCCGTTAACCATACATTACCCATTGATTCCCTTCCGCCGGTTCTACTGTACACGCGTTTATTGCAGAAATGACAAACCCCCATAACACTTCTAATATAGCTTCCGATGGCAACCCTTTATCGGTAGTTGTGAGCACGTAATTTTTGCCCTATGTGAATTACTCCCATAAATTCAAGAAAAATGAATTTTCCCCATTGTTTGCAATTTCGTAGATTTTTGTGGCATTTTTGTCGACTGTTTGCATTTGTCCGTGCACGTTTGTTTTATCTAATTCATGAAAAATACAAAAATATGTTGCATTTGCATTTAGGATTTAATTTTACATTTGTTAGACTAATTAGCAAATTAGTTGTTTTATAAAAAGGGAAAAATCACAAAAAATAACTTATTTTGCACATTTTAATTTTAGTTTTTGATTTTTGGTAGTTTTTCCTTTAGTTTGGTTTTTAAATTATTTGTGATAATTATTATTTAGAATTAATTAGTATTCTTTAGGGGCTGATTTGGTTCTATGATTTAACCTAGGATTTTATTTTTAATTTTGAAGGAAAAAAAAAGAGAAAAAGGAAAATTAAAAAGAGTTTGAAAATAAAAGAATTAGTTTGAAAAAGAAGAAAAGAAGGGGAAGAGATCATATTTTGGGTTTTAATTAAATCTTCCCAACAGCCCAAACAATTTTCCCCATTACCCGTTAATCTGAGGCCCAAACCCGCTCCCAATGCCCGATCCGCCTCTTTAAGAAACCAAACGACCCCGTTTTGAAGGTCATTCGATCTGGGCCGTCGATGTTGTTTAATCAGACGATCGGGAACTAGCGGTCCTTTGGTATTTATATGTCCGAACCCACTCACCCCCCCCCCCCTTCATCGTCTCTCTCTCAAACTCACTCTTAGAGACAAAGAACCCTAATCCGCCGCCCTAAATTCCCCACATTCCCCACATCTCCACCGGCGGCGCCACCTCCAATCACTCCCAAAATAACATCCCATGACCACCAAGTCCCCCTCATTCCAAATCCCTAACCACTTGCCTTCGAATCATCCTAGAACCTCTCGAATTTTAGATCGAAATTTGAACCCTAAATCCCAAAAATGTCCTGAATCGAGATTTTATTAAAATTTCAGACCAAATTTGATTTTACTCGTGTGTTCTTGATAAGAACACACGATTAACATCGAACTTGGCTGGAAACTTGGAAGATTCGAAGCCGTTTCCCAACTCTTTTACTGTCCGAGGTTATTTCATGGTATTTTCCCTTTTTCTTTGTTCCTCGTTTTGCTTTCTTTGTTTTTTTTCTATCTTCAGTTATTCTTCTCCTCCTCTTGATTCTTTTTATTTTTATTTATTTTTCCAGAATCGTTGTTTATGCATGCTTAGTTCTGAATCTTTTGCTTAATTAGTGTATTTAGTCCGTTAATCAATTTAGTTTAAATTTATCAGTTTGGTTGATTCTAGTTAGTAAGTCAATTAGTACAGATTTTTTATTATCTAAACCATGTCAGCATGTGCTTACAATTTGTTAATTGGGTAGTTGTGTCGTTTGGACTTTGGGTTGGCTATGAACCATTTGCACAAGAACATCCCATTCAATTTGGGGCTCAAGTCATTGGGTCATT